GGCTCGCCACGCGTGGCTCTGGTGAAGGACGAACGCTCGTGGTCTAAAACATATAGTACGCGAACTTTTTTCCGTGATTTGTGAATAATTTAATTGTTCATCCTTTAAGGAAGAGAAAAAGTGAATCTGGTTAAGATTAGAAACGCCGGAATGTTTTGGTTTGTGAACTCTGTTCTGCTTCTCCTTGTTTAGAATACACACGACTCAACAAAATGCTGCATCAGATATCGTTGACACCGACTCCGTACATGCAGTCATAACTAACGCTTACACACAAAAGAATCGGAGAAGTACCAGTCTTAAAATGTCTCGGAAACGCGGTCTTAAAAAATCAGAGAAGTCCTCTTCTCGGCTTTGAGATCAATAGGCTAGTCTTGGGTTACAATGTCAAAGCATCCTGCACGGAGCATGAGGCACATGAACTTGACATACCCGTAGATTAACATTCATGGGGCCGTGGAGTGCGAAAGTGTCACAAGAGGTTAATTTTGATCCTCTAGTCCCATGAACGTTTAATTCTTGTCTCTCCCGCGCGGAAATGACAACAAATATCGATTTCAGCGGAATATATCACCCATTTCAAAGGTCAATCCATCTTAATCTATATTTTTGTATTTGGCTCTGACATGACATGCAATCCTTTTAGTTTTTAACCAGATTCACGATAAAATCTAAGAGACGGCAATTTTCTTTGACATCTTTGGCACGACTCCACTTTTCAGTTAATTATATCTAACTAGGGACTTGTTATTTGTTATTCGAATAAAGAGGGCCACGATTGACATACCTTAAATATTTTTGGTGAAACCTTTTCCGCGGATTGAAAAAAATCAGACCACTAGAATCCGGCTTTGAAAATAATAATCAGCGTTTATTCTTTTAAAATCACCCATACATAAAAAAATCTTAGAACTTCTTGAACGGAACAAAGAGAGCAAGTAGCAAGTTTAATGAGAAAAAAATAACAAGCCTGACAAAATTAAACTGAACATTAGTATTCTTCACTGACTCAGGATACTCTGGAACGTAGGATTTCAGAGAGATAAGCAAAACAAAATAATGTCACTTTACCTTTGGTAACAAGAATTTAGTATTATAACCAACAAAAAGGTGAGACGCATTAAGTGGTCGAGTGAAGTGGCTAGAAAATTAGGTTTAAGAAAAAATCGAATACATCGCATTGCACCGTCCTCAAATCCAAATGAGAGTGAAAATCACCATTTTTTCTCACTTTTTTTATATTTCCAAAACGATTGCAAAGCATAGCATTTTGTCATACGGTAACAAAATATATTTTCCCGCCTAAAATTATATTTAATTACTACCTTCCGCCAAAAATGCTTGAGCGGGGCAAAAGCAAATTACACGGAGAATTCAGTATTGGTTGAGCTGCTGTAGATTAATAAAACCCTAAAGTAATCTTACATTTATATTTAGTAGCTACATTGAAACAAACAGAAAAACAGGTCAGGTTCTGTTGCCACCGACACTGACTCAACCCATACAAATAAGATATTTGCGATCCCCGATTTTAGCCGTATTACTTTGTTGTCTACTGACCTCGTGTACTTTTTGGCTTGCAAGATTTGTTTTGTCGTTGTTGTTGTTTTGTGAGGTCTCTTTTGTCCACGAGGTTACGGTTTCATTTAGGTATAATAAAGTATAACACGTGTCCTACCTTATCGGTGCTCTTGACCGTTTCATCCACAAGGAGATACAATCCCTGCATACGATCCTTTAATGTAATGTGTAGCAATTAAAATACACTACCCTTGGCTGAATGCATGCCTATTCAACTCACTGAATAGTTCGCCCATAGCTTAAGGTGATTCCCTAGTTTTGCACTGCGCATCTCTTACTGCGCATAACAAGATGGCCGCCGTAAAAAACAGCATGTGAAGTAATATTATTAAAATGAAGTTGACTCAAGAGAAACGCTATTGGAATTTTTGCTTGCTGTTGTTTCTTGCCGAGGTGAGACTCAATGTGTTGGGAATGTGCATAACGTAAGCAGTACGCGTGTTGCTGAGTTCAACCTCCTCTCGGAGAACCTCGATAGTGGATGTTTAACTTGTGCTTACTCACTTTGATTTTCATTTAAACACTTTCTTTATCACATTGTGTCCTAAATGTGATATCTCGATGTAAATTCTGTAAAAACAGATTTTTTAAAACCTTCTTCCCCCTTTCACATACATTGTATTTGAAACTCGCCCCAGTCCCCTCTCAAAAATCGGAGTAAATGCGTTTGGTGCGCACTTTCTGCAGCTCTACCGCAAAAACGAGTACGGTGACCCCCATTTTTTATTTCATGATATTAATAAGGATAGTGCTTCCTTTCGATGAGAAAAAAATTGGCACAAATCTATGTTCAGTTTTTTGGCAATTTTACTAAATTGTACGGATTGAGCCATCACGGGTCGAAAAGCGCGCGTCCAATTTAATTCTACTTTGGAGCGTAAAGTAAAAACAAGGACATTAAAAGGCATTTTTCTGGTACGTAAGTGGATAAACAATACATTAAAGTCAAATTCTGTGTGATGTCACATGCATCATCGAAAAAATCTCTCCTTTTTGTCTAGTTTTGCGCTGCCCGCGGTTTTTGTAAAAGGGTCCTAAATAGCCGTATTTGTCAGCATTGTGACGTCAAAACGAGCACGGTGACCCCCACTTTTTATTACTTTTTTATCATCTTCTTGACTTGTTACATCAGTGTACCAAGTTTTAGCTAAAATCTATGTTAGGTTCTTTTACTATGGAATCACCTTAAAGGCGGCCGGTTACTGAACTCTTTTGGTTACTGAGCAGTCAGCGAAAATGGTGTGCATTTTAGTAAAACCATCATTTCCTGGGTAACATGTGCTTTAATATTTAGTTGTCACGCAAGGCATCACTTTGCTACAATCAGGGACAAAAGTAGTTGACACACTTGTTTAAAACGGGTGTTTTTAACAAACATTTAATTCATTTATTATTTCGTTCTTTTTAAACGCCGTAAATCTCCTCACCCCCCGAATCAATGTTGTCTGAAGTAAAAAAAAAGACTTGAGGGTCCAAAATTCAACATTGATTTTGGGGGGAAGGGGTTGGGGTAGACAGGGGAAGGAGCATAAGTATATCCACTATGCAAAAAGGGGCCATTTTACGGAAGTGTGTCAACACTTTTGTCCCTCATTGTCTGAATGCAAAATTGTGCTACTGCACACAAGTTGAGCCGTGCATGACACTGATTTTAACTGAAATTAAAGGAATCAATGACATAATTATGTTATTGGTGGTGGGGGTGACATTGAGTTATTAGCGACCGAATTATAGGGCCAATTCGAATTACGTGATGACGTAATAAAAGGGCTGCGATATCCAGATTTACAAACTAAAAACTGACGCTGAAACTTGCGCACAAGTACAACTTTTGATGAATTTCAAGGGTATGCATACTAAAAATACTTTTAATAAAGTGAATATTTCTCGTTCTTCACTTTATCCGATTGTTAAGGCGCAAACAATCACGAGTAGGGTAAGGATTGACACGTAGTGGGGATAGTCACTGGGCGGCCACGGAAATATGGAGTGTTAGCGAGGAGCGGCCGTCACTGCGTTCAATATCGAAACTACGGAAAAGTGAAGGTAAATTCATGGCCAATTCAATAAAAAACTAAGGACAGCGTAGCAAACATTGCAAGTGTACACGAAAACAGCTACTTTCAATCCCACCTCGTGACACCCTGTGTGACATGATAACGTAACCCAAATAGCGTGACATGAGCGCATATGTCTTTGTATTTGGACTGCATTTCTCAAACGAAACCCTGTGTTTTTGTCTATTGTCGGCAGAGAAAATGAAAAGAGAGCTTTGAAACGTGAACTGGTATTTGACTCTCAAAGAAAACGACAGCTCAAACTGAGGAAAACACTGCTTCCTTCGTGTTACAACGGTTAACCACGTTTCGGCAAACGGAAAGTAACATTAGTCTGTTATGACCTCTTAATGTCGATGTGTATTCTCGTGGTTCACTATTGAAACTCCTTATTTGCACCACATCGCTGGAATTTTTCTCGCCACTTTGCTATCTTAGCTAGTAATTTCGTAAATAATATTGTTCGTTGTCATGATTCCTATTCAACAACTGTGGCGACACCTAATTCCACCACCACAACTAGTGCCAGGAGCAATTCGAATCCTGATTTTATATTTCCCAAGGGTCGTGGGTTTAAAATGGCTAGCTTAAATATTACAATTCTATTGAAACATATAGATGAACTTCGTATCGTATTAGATGGTCAACCCATTGATATACTAGCTATTAATGAGACGAGACTTGACGGGAGTATATCTGATCAGGATGTTAAAATTGTGGGTTATGATGTCATCCGTCGTGACAGGACCGTTAATGGGAGATTTGGTGGGGGTGTATGCTTCTATAGTTCGTTCGAATATAAATTACGTAGTCCGCGAGGATTTAGATAACGAACTTTTAGAAATCGTATCGATTGAAAAATTAAAACCTAACTCAAAACCTTTTGTTGTTACCTCGTGGTACCGACCGCCAAATTCACTTATAGACCTTTTCTCGAATATTGACTCCTTGTTAGCAAGACTTGATTCCGAGAATGTTGAACATTATCTTATGGGTGATATGAATTGCGATTTGCTGTCCAGCGAAAACATTTATGCAAGGGCTCTGTTAAATGTTACCGATATTTATGGCTTAAAACAATTAATCGACGAGCCTACTCGAGCTACACCCTCAACAAGTACCCTAATTGATCTTATTTTCAACAGTCACCAAGACAATATTCTCTGTTCTGGGGTGACACACGTGGGTATAAGCGATCACAGTCTTGTTTACGCGTAGCGTAAAATTTTAATCCCGCCTGTTTCTAAAGGAATCAATTTGATCAGCTATAGACAATTTAAACACTTCAACAGCAATAATTTCCGTAATGATGTTTCGACGCAACCGTGGGACGATATCAAACAACTGTACGACACCAATGACATGTGGAAAAAATGGAAAGAATTATTCCTAAGTGTTTGTGATAAGCACGCCCCAGTGAAAACTAAACGCACCCGTCCCACCAAGTCTCCTTGGGTTACCACAAATTTAAAAAAACGAATTAATTTCAGAAACCGGCTAAAGAAAAAAGCTGTTAAAACTAAGGATGCGTCCTTTTGGAATCGATTCCAGAAGGTCAAAAATAAAGTAAATCAGGAAATCAAGGCTGCTAAAAAGGCCTATTATAATAATTCTTTTAATCATTATGCCGGTGATCAACGTAAGACCTGGAAGACCATTAATGAATTGACTTCCCGCAAATCTAATAAAACAATAATAAATGAAATACAATATCAGGGACTAAAATCGAGCAATCAAGCAGAAGTTGCTGAATTGTTGAACACTTTCTTCATTGAGATTGGACCAAGGCTTAGTCGAAGTGTTTCGAATGTTGATACCACCTACAAAGAGTTTCTTTGTGGAACTTCTAAGGAGTTTGTCTTCAAGGAAATAACATCTGCTCATATTTATTCTCTCCTTTCAAAACTTTGTAAATCAAAGGCCACTGGATTAGATAGTATATCAGCTAAATTATTAAGGGAGTGCCCTGATCTAATTGCCGAGTCTCTTACTTTAATATTTAATCAATCACTGTTGACAGGAATTTTTCCTGATGAGTGGAAGTCGGCTAGGGTTACTCCATTGTATAAAAATTCTGGTAAACGAAATGATCCCACCAATTATCGACCAATATCGGTGATCCCAGTCGTGGCCAAAGTATTTGAACGGGTAGTCTACGACCAGTTGTATCACTATCTTACTGAGAATCGTATTCTATCCCGTTACCAATCTGGTTTTCGTTCTTTACATTCTACTGTAACCGCATTACTCGAAGCTACCGATAGCTGGGCAGTGAACGTTGATCGTGGCCTTGTCAATGCCTTTGTCTTCTTAGACTTAAAAAAGGCTTTCGACACAGTTGATCATCATATCTTATTAACGAAATTACAATATAATGGATTACGCGGTTCCTGACACGAATGGTTTACTTCGTATTTAAACAATCGTACCCAAACTTGCCAAATTAATTGCTCAATGTCAAACCCAAAATTAGTTACATGTGGTGTTCCCCAGGGAACAATTCTTGGACCCTTATTGTTTTTACTGTACATTAATGACCTACCTAACTGCTTGCATTTTTCACAACCTTGAATGTATGCCGATGACACCAGCCTACCCTATGCCAGCGCAGATTTAAAACTCATAAATGACTGCGTTAACGACGATTTAAACAAGGTGTATATATGGCTATCGGCTAACAAACTGACCCTTAACTTGACTAAAACTGAGTTTATGTTAGTTGGGTCGAGGCAGAAGCTATCAAAGCTTTCTGAAACTCCTTCTTTTATGATAAACGACCATCCCGTGATGCGAGTGTCAACGGCAAAATCTCTTGGAGTGCATATTGACCAAACTTAAGCTGGGAATGCCACATACAGCGTATTTGTAAAAAGATTGCTTCTGCTTTGGGTGCAATTAAAAGAATACGACATCTTATTCCTTTTAATGTATTAATTAATGTTTATGACAGTTTAATTCAACCGCATTTTGATTACTGTAATGTCGTATGTAGCAACTGCGGCATTGGTCTTTCCGATAAGCTGCAGAGGCTCCAAAATCGTGCAGCCCGTATTCTAATGTCCGCCAATTCTGATTGTAATGTGGACGATTTGTTCCTGGCACTGGGTTGGCGTAAGCTTAAACACCAAAGACAAGTATCGACGGCTATTGTGATGTATAAAACCGTACATGGGATGACCCCCGACTATCTAACATCTAAATTTGTATCTCGTGACGAAATAACTTCTTATCGATTGAGGAATACTGAAAATAAATTAGTCCTTCCACTGCCCCGTACCAATTATTTAAAGAAAAGTTTCTCCTATAGTGGAGCTAATCTGTGGAGCAGCCTCTCCCATGATTTAAGATCTGCAGATTCTTTACATGATTTTAAACGTAAACTGTGTCGCAACAGTTTTGAATGAGATCATACATTAATACAGTTTTACACGGCATCCTTGAAAAGCAGCTTTTATTTGTAAATAGCTAGGTAGTTAAAATTTCAGGAATTTATTTTTAATCAGAGTTACTTTAGTTAGGCATAATAGATCTTAGATTTTTTAAACATGCTGAAGGAATTTTAACCGTGTTTAAATAAAGTTATCTATCTATCTATCTATCTATCTATCTATTTATCTATCTAAGTCAAAGTCAAAAATAATGCATGTCCACTCCGTTACTCTGCAGTACTTCATTCGCTTAAGGTAACCACTTACCAGAACCATTTTCATTGTACCTTAGTGTCTCCATCCTTTTTCCACTATTGACAATACTTGTGAAAACATTACATCCGTAGCAACGGCATTGATCACAACACAAATGATTTCCTCTCGACCCGACAGGGTATCAGGGACGCGCGCGGGAGTACAAGATTAAGTAATGACATACGCTTCGTACATTTTACTCTACGTATACTACAAATCAGGACGAAACTTTACAAATTGTTGTTTGTAAACAAACAATTTGGCCCATAGATCAACGTCATCGCACAAAACTTCAGCAGCGTCAAAAATCTAGCCGGAAAACACAGATACATATTTCAGACAATCAGGGACAAAAGTAGTTGACACACTTGTTTAAAACGGGTGTTTTTAACAAACATTTAATTCATTTATTATTTCATTCTTTTTAAACGCCGTAAATCTCCTCACCCCCCCGAATCAATGTTGTCTGAAGTAAAAAAAAGACTTGAGGGTCCAAAATTCAACATTGATTTTGGGGGGAACGGGTTGGGGTAGACAGGGGAAGGGGCATAAGTATATCCACTATGCAAAAAGGGGCCATTTTACGGAAGTGTGTCAACACTTTTGTCCCTCATTGTAGCCTGTGTGTGGCAAACACTACGCAGGCTATCACTTTACTCGCGGGGTGAACATTTTCTATTAAGTCTGTTATCAAGTCGAATACAACAACTGCTTATTATTCCACTGTTACTGTTGTAATGCTGTAATAAACTACTGAACTTTATTTACAGAGGTCTAAAAAGTTTTAGTTAACAATCGATTACTCATATATGTGAAATATTCAAATACACTAAAATAATCACGTCAATCGGCTGATACAGAAGACATTGGATGTGGATGTGGTATTTTCAGCTTTTGGCAGGGTGTCGTATCACCTACCACAAGGTGGGCTACGCCTAACGTAGCCCCGATCTGCTAACAATTGTAGCTACTCGTGTTGATACTGCTTGCGGACAAGCTACCTTCGAGTCCCGTTGACTACTAAAATTGACAGGACCATACGAACGCCTGTGTGAGGCAATGGTTCTTTTAAGCAGGTTGAATTTGGACATGTTTACAGCCCATTGCCGTCTTTGTGGTCGAAGAAATCTATCTGTAATTACAATGTGTCAGCAAAAGGCGTTTAGAGCATCGACAGAGCACGAGGTTGGACTGTAATTTCGTGTAATTCGTGAGGTCATGGTCTTTGCGCTCTTATTTGCAAAATCATAACTAGTACTTTGATAAACGATACTCCTTTTATACTGGTTTAAAAGGCGTAATTATATCATCTTGGTATGGTTTTGATGCAACAAAAAATTTGTTATCAAGGTTTAACTTTTTTGATTTTTTTCTCTTTTTCGGAGCTTGTCCTTTGTTATTAGTAACAGCTTTACGCTTTTCTCCCACGATAACCTTTCAATTTAAAGAAAAAGAAGAATGTTAACAACTATCACGTGTTTTCGCGGCGGTAAAAATGATATTAGGGATGTCTTTCCTTCTCAGCTGAAGCTAAAAATAGCTGACAGAATACCGATCCCTTACCAAAGCGAGAAGTAAGGAAAAGCCGGCAGTCAGACTTCCGGGTGGGAACTGATTTGATTTGCTGAGGAGATTTTCAAGATTATTTTCAACTGCGCACACCACTTCCTTTGGTCTGAATTCAGTCTACGACACTTTTTGACACAATCTTCTAAAACGTTGATTTCCAAAAGTTTTTTGGTATTTGGGCGAACAAGTGCGGGGTGGGGGGCTCCATCCGGCTGTCAAGAAGGCATACAGAGACCTGATCATTCGGGAAGCCATTTGTCATCATTAGCCCACTGTTTGTACTTCAAAACCACATTACCATTTATTTTAACAAAATTGAAGGCGTGGGGATAAATATGATTTTTTATATGCTTTAAACAGGGTTCAGTCCATTTTTTTGATGTCAAAAAGAAAATCCAGTACTTGGGTTTCGGCCTCCAGTGTGTGTGCTTGTCTGATGTTTTCCAACAACTCTTGCAGTGTCATACTGTCGATTCTTCTTAGCCTCTTAGAAATTCTGCTGAAAAACTGTGAAACAACATAATCTTTTCATTTGACACTTTCAACACTTTAATGGTAAGCATGGAGTACTGACACTCCTTTGATAATCCTTGCATTTTACAAAATTTAGGCCCTGGCAAAAAATGAATGAGCTAAGTTTTAAAATAACACTTGATCGCCGCTGTTGCTGAATGCTGCAGCCATGGGCTGACTTAGCAGGAGGGAGACTGGACTTGAGATCTAGACACAAATGCTATGCATACATACCTGATCTACATCCTCGTGTGTGTGACCAACCATAAGGAACGACAAATAAACCTATACAAAGATATAATTAAAATAAATAGTAATATTAATATCAAAGCGAATTAATAGTAATAAAATTATTCATTAGGGAGTTTTAACAACACAACCTGATAACCGTAAATCAACCTGAAAAAAAAAATCAACTGACCCCGCATTCGTTGTTTGATAATGTCTTACCTCCTTGAATATTTCTTTTTCAACCAGAAGAGCGCAAAAACCTAAAATATATCTGTTGTTGCACTCACGGTAGGTGGGGGAGGCAGCTGTCCTTCCTAAAACATATGCGACGTACCTTAAGTATTGAGAGTGCTAAGAGTGTGGATTAAGTTATTGTTCCTCGTTAGAATGCTGAAACAACTACAAATCGTCAAAAGGCTTAGAAAAATAAAATCAACTCAGCAATTTCTATGAATATTCGCAGCAGCACATTTAAAGTGAGATTTGAGTCATGGGGCCATCTCATGAGGTCGATGAAACTGAAGACACGTCCATTTCCGTGAGAAATGGCACCAGTGACATGAGTTCGTAGGAAGTGGTATGTTTCGTCCTATAAAAAGAGAGCATAATCTTCTTACGCCATTTTAACCTCTATTTTTAAAATGACGCCCTCTCTTTGCGTTAGAGAATTAATTTGAAAGAAACTTATTATATAATTAGAAATGATCTGACTGTAAACAGAGTTTCTATTCAATTAAATAGGATTTTTAATTTGCTGATACATTTGAAAGACAATTTGCGCGTGGTAAGTTTGTTTTGGATTGGTCCATTCCGTCGATGATCAAAGAAAGGAACTTTTTGGGACATAATTCTGCTTTAAGGCAGTTTCCGTAGTAAGCCCTTCTCTCAGCCCTACAGAATGCGAAGGAGACCGAGTAAATTAAACGAGTTGTTACAACTTAAACCTCATTTCAAATATCTACGATAAATATAATACACCTAGCTTACATCTGCTGCTCATTGTGCTGCTTTCTCTTTTGGGCGAAAGACATTCTTTTCTCCTTGTCAGAAGTCCCCTGGAGGCAGAGTTTCAAGGCAACACACACCCCACGTTTGGTAAGCTTGTTGTCCTAAAACAAAACGGGAGTGTGCAATGGTGAAAATTTAAAGATAATAACTGCAAAATAGTCACATAAGTGATTATGGTAATGTTAACACAAATGCCATTGACTCATTTCGAATCCCCCATAAAAAAACTCTGTTTGCACCCAAATTTTGCATAAGTTATTGTCTTCAAATGCCCTTGGTAAAATGCAGTACTCCCTGGAGCATCTGAAACAATGGTTTATGCAATTTTTGGGGGCTGATCGGGGGGAGGGAGAGCGGAAAAAGAGTTTATTTTCAAATGGAGGATTCGAAAATAGAGAATATATTAATAGAAGTATACCTTTGGTATTATGATATTCCGAAATTTCTGTTTCCACAGCCTGCAGAACGCACTGGACGAAAAAACGGATTTGCCTAAGTTTGCTAGTTGAGCAAATCTATTGTAAATTTAGGGTACTTATGTTGCTACTTATTTGTTCTTGGTGCAAATTTTGTTCGAAAGTGAAAGTTTACTTTTCTGCAAGGGTGGCGTAAATGTGGAGTAAATATCAAGTTTACAGATATTTTGTTTCACTTTTGCTCCCCATGGTAAATTTGGTGTTTAGATTCAAATTTGCCACCATTTTGTTCTGTGTGTAAAAATCGAGCGTCAAAACTGAATGTTTGCTTGATATTTTCTGGCATAGCAAAGTTAATGTGTAAATTTATGGTTACTAGAGGCGTAAATTTAAGCAAAATATGATCAAAGAACTATCTTTACGACCACTTTAACCAACGTTTGCACATTTACCAAACTTCACAGTGTTATTTCACGCAAGTTTTGATTTTCCATTGCATTTTCCGTTTCAATCACCATCACATTCTTCTCAAAGTTTATAATATTACTTGCTGCAGCTGGTTATTTCGGGTAAGGCCATCCCCCCTTTTTTTTCGTTTAGCGTCGAATGCGTTTCCTGATATTGTGTCGGTGGCTCGGAAAAAAAATATCACAAGAAGTCTCGGAATAGGAGGCCCTGACGTAAAACGTTACATTACAGAAACGAGCCCATTGAAAAACGTCGCCCGTGAAAAGTGGGGTACCCATTAGGCTTTGCGAGCAAAAACGTAGTTTCAAAGACTACCGTCGTTTTCGGTCTCTTATGAACTTCATAGCGGTTAACTACTCTCACACTTTCAAGAGACAATGCAGAAACAATAGAAGTAGGTTGCCATTGTTTTATGTGTTGGAATGTCTTTGTCATTGCTACAAAGAAGAAAATGTTTATGCAAAGAGAAGCATTTTTCTTCCTCGTGCACTAAATAAAACCCTCGCGAATTCGGTAGTCTCGTGCGAATCGTTTTGATGGCAAAACAGTTAAAGCTAATCAGAAACCAAAGTATTCTTTACTTAAAAACTCATCTTCACGAAAATCACTCGATAAGATTGAATAAAAATGTTTGTAGCGTTAATGAATATTATTATCAGAAGCGGTATTGTAGTTGTTTTCAAGAGACGGATTAGATCGCTGTTTCGGTTTGGCCGTTAAATATGTAGTTATAGCGTTCTTAAAGAAAGTATCGCTCTTAATTTTGCCTTATACTTTGCTAAAATCAATATCTTAAATGAAGAATGTAAGTGAGAGTGCTTTCTCGTCGAATTTGCCCGTAAATTTTAAGGTTTATAATATTATCCAAAACCCGTGACAAAATGTAAACAAACTATTAACGCACCGGTTGCGCTCATATTTCATCGATCGATTCGAACACCAAGAAGTTTGTAAAAGGTAGAAATTCATTTTAAGTCAGTGCATTGAATTATTTACGGCAAAATCAACAACAATCATCGAGGATTTTTCAATTTTGAAGCGTTTAACAGCAAAAAGTCACATGCTAATTCGGAGTAAATTTAGACAGTTTTTAAACAGACTGAGTTATTGTTAGTCGCGTGAAGTTCTATTCTTCATCGAAGAATAGGTAAATGTTGCGGATGTCTGAGCAGGAACAATAACCAGGAAAGGGATACACCCAGGGGATTTCTTGATTGACACTAAATTAACGTCATTTTTCACTTATTTGCATTTTCACGATCGACGTTTTTGAATGGGCGCGTTTCTGTAATGCCATTTACAATTTGGGTGAACAAAATGCACAATATGTGAAAGGTTTAAACCCAGGAGTCATTTCAATAGTAGATTGCAGAGTTTCATCGTCCGGGTGAATGTAGTCCTGAATGCACTCCGTCGCAAGATCAGCCGCCATGTTTGTTGCCCAGGCTTCCATGTGACTTTGGCACATGCGCGATTTTATTTACATTGTCACGTGCGGCTTTTGAACCAATAGAATAGTGTAAAATAAACTTTCGTTGAACAGTTCAAATTCACGCGGACTTCACAAGCGATACAGCGTTGCAAAACGAGTAGTTTTGTTATTTTCGGATAATAGAAAGCCTGTCTTTCTATTCAGCTGTTCTATTACGATTTATACCTTTGTTATCTTCGAGAGACAGTGATCAGTTGCGATATTCTTCACATAAAGCCTGTTTCCAAGTCATCAACTCAGCTGGATTGCAGAAAGGTATGTTCTTCTTGATATCGTGGTTCGTTTACTTACTTTGGTTTTCTAATAACTTTGCGTAAGCTTAAAACCTCAAAGATAAATCTTAAAATTTAAGATGCATGCACAGATATGCCATTGATTGATTCCTTTTTTTGTTTACTGCAGAAATAACTGTACTCTTTGTTGCGCATCGTCTTCATTAATAGAATAATCTTAAGTAGCCGGATCTTGAGCTGTGCAGGCAAACATTTCTTTTACACCAATATAAGTCGGTGATGTGACCTTAGCATGCCCATAATTCAGAAATTTGGCTTGTTGTACAGCTGAGTTAATATGTTAGATCTTTGGGGTTACTGTACTTTTCAGGTGACAGCACTTGACAAAGCAGTGGTCACTATAATTTATTATTTAATATTCTACTACATTTCAAATGACAAATGATTTCCCTTTTGAAATTTTTACAGTCAAAAACTCTTGTTTTACATCTATACATAATTATGGTTCAGTGATGTTGTGAAATCTTAATTTGGTTCATTTTGCAAGTGACCACTGTATTACTGTTCCACATTTTAAAAGACAATACCTCATTATTTATACCTTTTGTACAGCTCAATGATGTTGAGGGATCTTTTTTAGTTCATTTTGCTAGTAAATGCTTTGGCTTTATCATGCCAAATAACCACAATTAATCAATTATTGTTCTAAGCAACATGTGGGTTGCCTTAATGTTACGTTTCTCAGGTTCTGACCGGTTTTACGGTTTATGTGTACAGTTGAGTCATGGTTGTGCTCTGTTAGAGCCTGGTGACCTGTGGGACACTATCAGTTCTGCTCTTGAATGACAGGGGAATTAATTTATTTCAGTCTTTATTTACACTTAAAAGAGTCTTAATGAAACAAATGCAGATTCAACAGAAAGAGGCATTTCTGCTCTCTACTTTAACACCTGTTCCAAAAAACATATTATATATTTAATGAAAAAGTTAGTAGGAATAAAATGCAGGGAGAAATTTTTCTCACAAATATCCTCAAACTGTTCCTTTGATTAAGAGAGTGTTTTCAGCTTTTAGCATCGTGTCATTGTTCTGCAACCCAATCATTTACACTGAGTATGAGCAGTATATGCTTGTTTACCAACTGTGGGTTACTTGTTGGCTCCTAAATCATGGTTCGTCATTTTTCTTTCAGAAAAAAAATTAAAAGGCCAATATGCTCTGAGGGAGTCAACTAGCATCAGTTAGTCAGACAAGGACAAGTACCTTGCATGTATGTCCGTTGCATATATGTCATCAGAGGAGTCTTTGTCTGAAACAGCTGTATCAGAGTGGCATGAAGGTAATTCTTCAGGTTCAGATGAGGACCTCCCAAACAGTGAAAATCTCTGTGTAAGGCCACTTTCCTGGCAGAGCATTGAGGTTAATGGTTTAATGGCCCAGTTGGACCGCAAAGTTGCATGGTGTCAAAGTCAATGAAGTGAAAATAATGGTAATAGAGCACACAGTGAGACCAGCATCAAATCAAGGAGCACCAGACGATGCTCCTGAGTTTGCTCTGGCACCCACCACTTACAATAGAAAAAGGAACTTGATCATAAGCATAACACAGATAATTTTTTGAAGAACATTCACAAAAGAAGAAGACATTTTAGATAAAATTGTACAAAATAATAATAACACTCAAGTTGAAGTTGACATGCATCATGATTCAGTTCCTTTTCAGTTAAGTTCCTAGAACCATATTTACTCAGTAGACAATTGCACAATTTTTTGAGTTTTGATGAAGACCTACAATGTAGTAAGTGAATATCCTTTGACACCCATGGGAAGGAGCCACGTTAAAACTAGGTAAATTACCAAATCTCAAAGTGATTTGTCACAATCCAATGAAGATCTTGCCTGTGTTGCAGACACTCTAAACCTTCTGTATAGAGCATGCCGTCTGAGAATTAGTGCACAATATCATGTTTGAATCCCACTGGGTCACAAAGACATGCATGTATGTCAGCGTTTTGTGATTGGCTAGGTTCTTACGCTGTTTGTGATTAGTCCGATTTGAAATAAAGTGTTGACACAAAGTCACATAATCTCAATGACCTTTGTATGGTATGGTGGAGCCACAAACTTTCCCTTACCAGACAAATGTCTGCAAAATTTGCCATCTTTGCAGAGCTGTCCTTGTTAGTTTGCACCGAATCACTCTGTAACTTGGCAACTTTACTGAATTTTAAAAACCTTCCATCTAGTAGCCTGTAAATGCAGCTGTATTTTCAGTCATCGTGTCCATTCACCCAATATATGTAATTGGAGATACATCTGCATCCACTTTCCACTGTGGTGACAGATTCCTAGGGCTACCCTAAGCACTGCCTTACAAAGTGCCACTCCGAGGACTAAATCTAGCCAATACACCC